GGGAAGGCTTTTTAATTGAGGGAGCCTTAATAGTGTATTTCTTGTAAAAGCAGTTGTAAATACAAAATGAAATAAAAAATCGTTATGTAATTTTAAAGCCTGAAATGACTGGGACCCAGGTCTGGTGTACAGACTAAGTTCTAACCCCAAGAGAGGCACAGCCCCCTAAAATGCGTCTGCGCTTCTTATGAAAACAACTGACCAAAACAACCAGGGTCTTGTTTAGCAGGTAATGTTTGCCAGAATAAGTGTAGCACCAGAAACTGGACTAGGTAGGGTCGTATGGGCTTGGCTATCCTCACTGGTTTTCCACATCACCTCCCTCTCCCCTCCCCCTTTGTTTCCTCAGATTTGTCAATGGGGAGATATTGCAAGAAAGTGTGCACAACAGAGAGAGCATGGAGACACCCAGCACTTAATTTGGAGATGCTGTAGATGAATGCATAAGCCCACAGAGATGACACTGACGTTCTAGTGACTTCTTGAAAGTACTCCAACCAACTCTGCACTGGTATGGTAGGGTGCATGCTGTAAGAGGGTCAGGGTTAGGAGACACTGAGTTACAATGAAGTTAACGGGCCCACGTGCATTCAGTCTGCGGTCTTGTACTATTAAAATACAGAATTCACTCCATTAGTACTTTATTCAACAACAACGAAAAATTATGAGCACTTACTATTTGTTGGGCCTGGGGCCAGGTGCTAGATTTATGCCTTATTATTGCTATGTGTTTGGAGACTATTTCATCACTGACAAAGAAGAGTTAAAATATTTTCCTTGGCCAATTACAAGTCCAGAAGCTTGGTCTTCAAAAACCTGAAGTTTTACTGTGTAAGCCCTTTCCCTATTTATGAAAACCCGACTTAGGAATGATCTCTACTTAGGAAAAAGTCTCTTGACCTTTGTGTCTCATTCAGAAGAATGAGAAGTGACTGGTCCAAATGGGTGATGTCCTTCAGCCCTCCAGCATGAATAAGTTACCCAGAGGCATCTGTGTCAATCTGAGACTCATCTTTCTCTTGGGAAGGCTACTCTGTCCCCTCTCCCCAGCTGCTACTGCAGTACAGCCTAAAAAAGCTACAGTGAAGGCTGCCAGGCAGAGGGAGAGGTGGGCTGCAGGCATCCCAAGTTAGAACTCAGAAGGCACTTTCCCAGAGAAACAAAATAAATAGTGGCTGGTGGGAATGGTACAGTCAATGCCACGTTTCGAGTACACTGTGGCTCAACCAGGCACTTGTGGAGCACCATCATTTATAACATCATTGCTATGGGAAAATGTCTTCTGATCCCAAATAAATGACTTGCAAAGAAACTTTGAGAACACAGCTTTACTGCTGGGGATGGCTTATACCTGGACAGGTTGTTAAGGTAGAATATATACTTCATAGTCTGGTAAACTGCTGAGCTTGAAGACACTGTAGGGCAGACATCAATGAGTTCCGAAAGCAACTCAGTCAGTGACGTCTGGGTGAAGATGAGACCTGTGTCCGCAGATGTTTGGGGCCCTGTGTCTCCAGGCAGTGTGGTCCATAGCTCAGCAAGGCCTGTTTTAACGTGCTGTGTTACACGGCCACTGCTGATTATATCCTAAGCAGCATTCGCCCTGCCTGTATGAGTAATGCCCTTCGGTTGTACAACATCAGGGCGTAATTTGCAATCTATGAATAAAATAAGTACCAGCTTCCCAGAGGAAAGAAAAGTTACGCTACAAATGGGGAAAATCTTATCAGCAGGAAACATGAAAAGGACATGCATTTTATATGGTTTTTAGAAGATAAATGGAGAAATATTTTTGGGTTTATGTTTTTAGAAAAGAGAAGTATGTTTCCCTAGATAAATTCTAAATACCTCATATGCAGGGTATAGTGGATGAGCAACCATTCAGCCTATTTTGTGTATCTGAAAATAGACTTATTGAGGAGGAATTATAGAGTTGGAAGAATAATTTAGCAAATTTTATGTAATATGCACCATAATATAGAAACATTATTTTTCATTGTCTGTTTTACATTTTTTAAAAATTAAACAAGAATTTAAAAAGAAAGGAAAGGGAATAAAGAGAAAGAAAAAGATCAATGTTGCCAATTTCTGCCATGGGAAACGACTCTCACAGTACTTACTTTTTCCAGAGGTCATGTATAAACAACACTAAAAATACCCAGGATTTATATAGGAAGTTTCTGTGGAATATGTTTCCCACTTGGATCATCCCAGATAAAGAACAGCTTGTCTGGCATAGGCTATCTCTACCTAATCAAGCATAACAAATCTAAAGAGACATTTGGAAACATCTGGATGACTCATATTTTTTCTGTTCCAACTGACTATTTGTAATCATGTAGATCAGTAGTGAGCAATTATATTTTGCTTGTGTGTCAATCTGAGAAAAGTAAAGGCAGGCCATACTTTTTCATTCGAAATTGGAATCGCTTCATGTGGCTCCATGAAAAACATACATTCTTCTAGCTTAAAATATCTATTTTGTTGAACAGAACAGATACTTTGAACATTTTAAAAGGCAGCAGAACACTCCACAACCTGCCCCCCCACCTTCTTTTATTCAAATAAAGCATTTTCAGAAACTCAAATTTCTAAAACAATGAAATAAGACTAGTAGAATGTTGATACCAAAATTGGACAACAAAGACAGTACAGAAAGAGAGAGAGAGAGAATTAGAATAAGTGTATTTATGAACCTAGATGGAAAAATTAGCATATTGAATCCAACAGTGTAAAAAAAGTTAATGCAGAGATGGTAAAAATCTGGAAATCTATTGTTACATTATACAATATTAACAGTTTAAAAGTAAAGAACCCGGCTGGGCACAACTCAGCAGCTGAGCGTCAACCTAGGATCCAGGAGATTGCAGTTCAGTTCCTGGTCAGGACACATGCCCAGGTTGCAGGCTCGATCCCCAGTTGGGGGCGTGCAGGAGGCAGCTGATCAATGACTCTCTCACCATTGATGTTTCTCTCTCTCTCTCCCTCCTCTCCCTTCCTCTCTCTGAAATCAATAAAGATTTTTTTTTTTTTTTAAAAAAGGAAAGAAATAGAAAAAAGAAAAGAGAAAGATAATCTTGATAGATAAAGAATAATACTTGGTAAAATTAATAATCACTTATAGAAAAAAGGAGCTCTGAAAAAACTAGCAACAGAACCTTTAAAAACATGAGAGACATTTACTAGAAACCTACAGCAAAAATCATGCTTAATGATGAAATGTTAAAAATGTTCCCATTATAATAATGAAAAGACAAGGATGACTGTCTCTTCTAC